ATATATATATATATATATATATATATATCTTTATTGATTTCAGAGAGAGAGGAAGGGAGAGAGACAGAAACATCAGTGAAGAGAGAGTCATTGATCGGCTGCCTCCTGCACACTCCCTGCTGGGGATCAAGCCCGCAACCTGGGCATGTGCCCTGACCGGGAATCGAACCACGATCTCCTGGATCCTAGGTCGATGCTCAACCGCTGAGCCACACTGGCCAGGCTCCAAGTATAGCTTTTATTCTAGAACGAATTTTGCCTGAATGTTGAGATATAGTCCTTCTGGGCCCTCTAAAGAATGCCACAGGTGTTCAAGGAGGACTGGTTGTAACACAAACATCTCACATTCCAGTGTAAGCTCTGGCATTAATTTAGCTTAAAGTTCCCAGGTATTTGTTCTTTGCCCAGCTTAATGGAGTTTTATCTTAGAAATGCATAGCTTAGTACTCAAAGGCACAAGGAGACCACTATGCAGTTTTCTGGAATTCCTTTGTGGTTTCAGTATTTCTCTCTACATGTTCCAGTTACTTTCTACTCCAAAAACCCTGGTCTGCTTCTCAACTGAATACAAATGTTATGCTTTATTACATATACCTTTTTTGGGCCATGATATAGAAAGTAGCTCCAAACAAAAAAGTCCAGGTGAATGCAGAGGATCTCTTTATATTGTATCTTACAACTGCATGTGAATCTATATCTCAAAATAGTTTAATAAAAATCTTCATTCACAATATTTTCATGGATAATATATTACTGAATGTACTCTTGAAAAGTACATTTCACTTATAAAAGAAAATACATGTGTGAAGAAAAGTCTACTCTATTATGCCCCTCAGCCTCTTGCCACTCTACACTGTCAGTGTGCAGTTATAGAGGCAGGGTGACAAATTAACATTTCTTATAAAATCACATTGCTTTGCTGAAATTGTATGGTTGGTTCTAGTAAAACATTTGAATTTACTTAAAACCCCTTTTAAGCCTAGTTGATTGTGCCTAATGATGAATAACCATAATGGTAATAACTGGTGATGAGGTTGATGGTAATGACTGAGGTGGTTTCGGTGGTGTTGGTGGTGGTGGTGATCACAGTGGCAATGATGATGGTGATGATAGTGATGATGGTGGTGGTGATGACCATGGTGGTGGTGGTGGTGGTGGTGATGGTGATGATGGTGAGGGTAATGGTGGTGGTGATATGGTGATGATAATGATGGTGGTAGTGGTGGTGGTGGTGATGGTGAGAGTGATGATGGTGATGATATGGTGATGATAATGACGGTGATGATGATGAAGATGATGGTGATGATGGTGGTGATGATGATGGTGATGATGGAGATGATGGTGATGATGGTGGTGATGATGATGGTGATGATGGAGATGATGGTGATGGTGGTGGTGACAGTGAGAGTGATGATGGTGATGGTGATGATGGTGGTGATGGTGATGATAATGATGGTGATGGTGATGATGGAGGAGATGATGGCGGTGATGATGGTGATGATGGTGATGATGGTGGTGGTGGTGGTGGTGGTGATGGTGGTGATGATGGTGATGATTCGGTGGTTGTTCATAAAATATTTGAATGTTAGTATCAGATTCTAAGTTTCCCACGCTACAAGAGGACTCTCTATATCAAAGGAAAATTACCACACCTGAGAGGCAAAACATGCTTCGCAGCAGAGGTGTAAACCAAGACTTTAATTGCTCCTTTAGAAAGGACTCCAGTCTCCGAAGTGAGTGCATCCCATGAGAGGTTCTGCCCATAGGCATATAAATAGACGCCCAGGTCTCCCAATCTCAGGGACCCAGTTTTTATGGCTGTGACAGCCCCTTTGAGTAAATTTAGGACTAGAAATCAATCTGTATGGTTCTCTCATTTTCTGATATTTATTCCCTGACTGTTGAAACCAAGGCATCCTCCAAAATTTCCAGGAGACTGTTGCATTTTCCCTCAGCACAGGTATTTACAGATTTAAAGCAATTTTATGGAAAAATATCTCTTTCATGAACTCCTGTTTTCAATGCAGGATATCTCCAACCATATGTTTACCTTCGCCTCTGAGTGTCCTTTCTTTGTGGGCTGTGTTCTCATCAACAGCAACCCTGAGCTTCTGATGGTCTGCTAAAACTAGAGGTAATCATTGCAATAACTTATATCAAATCTGTGGGTCATCCTCCCCTATTTATGTCATTAGATGATCAGGGGGGTAAAGATGAAAACAATGCTGTCTAGGATCTTCCCATCTGCCCTGCGCCGGGTGGATGGCACTCACTCAGCACCGCTTTGAGCGCTTGTATTCTGGTAACGGTAGAGTCGGGGTGCATTTTCCATCTTTCTGATTGTTTTAAGAGGTAGAAATTAGGTAGAAGGGCATATGTAAGAATTTTTAATCTGTTATCTAGAGAACACTTATTTTTGCCTCTGTAATTAATGGAAATAATATTCAAACAATCTTAGCTACCTCTGGTCATTGTTATTATGAAGCTAAATACCTCTTAAACACCTTCCCACCAATAATTTAACAAAGTTCAAAGTGCAATGCAGGTTATATTGTCTTCAGCCCCATCCTAAGGAACAGACCTGCAGTGAGTGCTGGAGTTGTTACAGGACCCAAGGGAGATGATGCGGTTTAAAGTGCTACATGGAAATACAGGTCAAACATTTTTTAGACAAAAGCATTTATCTTTATGAACAGCAAGGCACAGCACCATTTACGGTCTTCAAACATTACTGCCCTTCAACTCTCATAGTTTGACAACGAAGTCATGGCAATTAAAACTAAGGCAGAATGCACACGTGTGTGATTTTATACATATTTAGCTATTTGCTACTCTGCATTCTCAAATATTACACCTTTAATTTCAAAAGAGACAAATGTAATAATAAAAACACTTTTATATAGCACTTCTGGTGCTAAGTAATGCCTCTTATTAAGATTTTGTGTGACTCTAGTTCCATGTTTTTCTAAATGGGGACATCTTGTAAGAGTGTAAACGATGAAAATAAAGTTAAAAAAGAAAAAAACAACAAAAAAGTTTTTAAAAATACATATATACTTATATACATGTAAATACATATATGCATTGAAAAAAAGGGCAACCATGACCAGCATTAGTATCCGAGGAGCAGGAAAATGGTGTTTTACTTTTGCTTATTTGTATTTCTAATTTTCTACAATGCACATATACGACCTAGGTAATTTTCTTTCATGTACCTGAAATTGGCAATAAAATCTTTCCTCTACTTCCAAAAATTCCATAAATTAAGTTCACTAAATGATAATAAATTTCTACAGCAAAACAACATAGCTTAGAGGAACAAAACAGACCGGTGGTCAGAAGTTCTGGGGTTTAGGCCCAGTTCCGCCTCTTGCTCACTGTATGGTAGAGTAATTTATTTAGCTTTTAGAGCCTCAGTTTCCTAGAGAATGGAAGAAATAGCGTGGCATTCCTTTTTTCCCTGTGCTATGCATCATCTAAGACGTCAAGGGTAAAGCACGTTCAGCTACAACATTTCCTAAGCTGTAGGTGTGCAGACGTGTAAGGCCACACACCTGGGCCAGGGGGAGTAGCTGGCGACCAAGAGAAAGCGGCCCGCTTCCCGAGTCCCAGTAATTTAGCGTCTGGCACCTCAGTTTTCTCAACAGGAAACTGAGAATCAAAATCCTCCTCTAAACACGCTTCTCCTCTTACCCCAAAATTGTAGGAGGAGTTAATAAGATGGACCTTTGAAGAGCATTATAGAAAAGTTAGTGATCATATGAGGAAGCATTAAAATAGTGAGAGTTTATGGTTTTGGGCTTAAGAAACACATCTCAGAGGCAGTATGTGTACAGGTTTCACCCCCAGCAACGATGGCCCGTGCGTCCTGGGTTCGTGTCTGTAATTTGAATACTTTGCCGGTAGGGAGATAATGGGGCCAGAGTTTAATATTATGGGCTGGAAATAATAGTGATAATAATAACAGTAATAATAATAATGATAATGGCTCTTGGGCACTTACTCTGGACTATACTATGTGCCAGGGCCCAGGCTGTGTCCCAGATCAGTGAAATCAGAGCCTCTGTTGGTGGAGCCCAGACACCATTCCTTGCTTTTTAAATGCTTTAGGTAGTTACAACAGCCAGTCAGTGGTGAGGACCACCGTCTCAAGGCCTCAAGTTCAGTAAAAAACAAAGGACAAATTCGAGACACCTAATGACAACTCGCATTTTTATAGGAACTGAGCACTTGAAAAATATGCGTTTTCCAACATTAGTTTTACACTTTTGGATCTGATACTCTGAACTTCTTCATCTTTCAGATACAAAAATTGATTGTACTCGATGCTACAGTTTAACAACCATATCGCCCCGGTGTGGCATCCTTTGAGATATGCATTCAGACTTCACATCCATTCACTATTTAGGAATTGCAGAGATGACAGTGAAATTTCATTTTTTAAAACAAAATACATCTCCGGCTACAAAATATGAAATAACTGCTTGTTACCCACAGGGGGCAGGTTCTGGAACTGCAGCGTGCCCTGGCATCGCCTGGAGAGAATGTCAGGCCCGGGTCGCTGGGCCCGTCCCCAAGGGCCCTGACTCGGTGGGTCCGGCTGAGGCCTGGGTTGGCATCTCCAACGTGCAGGTGACACTCACGCAGCTGGTCCGAGAACCGCACTGTAAGAAGCAGTGCTCCGGGATATTCGAGAAACATAAAAGTGTTAAGTGACCCAGGTCCTGGCCCCTTTCCCCTCTCATCTCCTTGATCTCTGAAATACCCAGGATCCGGTCTTGCCCTCGGCAAACAGCAGGACGTGGAAACGATGCCTGAGGAGCCCAGGGCCGTTCGGCTGGCCCCAAACGCGTCCCCAAGCAGTCCCCGGGGCGGCCTCCCATGGGGTTCTCTCTTGTCCCCACAGGGCTCCCAAACAAAGGATGGCTGCAGAAAACCTCTCCGCGGTGACAGAGTTCATTCTCGGGGGCCTAACAGACCGGCCAGAGCTCCAGCGCCCCCTCTTCCTCCTGTTTCTTGGGATCTACTCGGCCACCGTGATAGGAAACCTGGGCATGGTGACGCTCATCCGCCTGGATGCTCGGCTTCACACCCCCATGTACTACTTGCTCAGCAACCTGTCGCTCGTGGACCTCTGCTACTCCTCTGTCATCACCCCCAAAATGCTGGTGCACTTCGTGTCAGAGAAGAACGCCATCTCCTTCGCGGGGTGCATGTCACAGCTCTACTTCTTCCTCGTGTTTGTCATCGCGGAGTGCTACATGCTCACAGCGATGGCCTACGACCGCTATGTGGCCATCTGCAGGCCCTTGCTCTACAGCAGCGTCATGTCCCACCACGCCTGCTCCCTGCTGGTGGCCGCGGTCTACGCCATGGGGCTCGTCGGCTCCACCGTGGAGACGGGCCTGGTGGCACAGCTGCCCTACTGCAAGGTCCGCATCGGTCACTACTTCTGCGACATCCTCCCCCTCATGAAGCTCTCCTGCTCTGGCACCCGCGTTCTTGAGGTGACAGTCTTCCTGTTGGCAGCGTTCAACATCGTAGTCACCAGCCTCGCAGTGATCTCCTCCTACATCCCCATCTTCTCCAGCATCCTGCGCATCAGCACCGCCGAGGGAAGGTCCAAGGCCTTCGGCACCTGCGGCTCCCACCTTGCAGCCGTGGGAATGTTCTACGGGTCCACCGCGTTCATGTACCTGAAACCCTCCACCGCCACTTCCCTGGCGCAGGAGAACGTGGCCTCCGTGTTCTACACCACGGTCATCCCCATGCTGAACCCCCTGATCTACAGCTTGAGAAATAAGGAGGTAAAGGCTGCCATACAGAGAACCCTGAGGAGAAAGGTGTTTTGATGCCAAAGTTATTATTATTCCTCAATTTTAAAAGTGGTTATAAATGCCAGCAAGAAGCCCCCTGGATGCCCAACCACCATGGGCATCAATTGCTTTTCTCCACTCTCATTGCTTCTTTCTTTTCTAACCCTCGCCTGGGGATATGCTTATTGATTTTAGAGAGAAGGGGAGGGACAGGAAGAGAGACAGAAACATCGATGTGAGAAAGAACATAGATTGGTTGCCTTCTGTACAACCCACAGCCCGGGTATGTGCCCTGACTGGGACTCAAACCCACAACCTTGCGGCTCCAACCAGCTGAGCCACACAAACCAGGGCTCTCGTTGCTTTTTGAGGTGAGCTGATTTCAAGGCCATGTTTTCTTTCATCTGAGATCAGTTTTCTCTATCCTGAGCCCTTTGCATTGAGTTTGAGAGCCATGTATTTTTGTATTACCTTTAGCTAGAAAACAGTACTCAACCCGGTTCTTACCTTTTTTTTTTTTGCATTATGAGTACACAAACACAGTGAGGTGCATCCGAAAGCCACCAAGAAGTGATACACAGCCCCTTTCGCAAGTAAAGCCATACCCTCCTCTCTGCATATTCCTGCCCAAGAACTCCTACTGACCGCTTTGTGTAATTTCTTAGTAACAAGGATACAACTACTAGCTGTTCACCTGGTTGGGGAGCTTCCTCTGAGTCATGCAGCTCTTTCTGTTCAGAACCCCTCATCCACAAGGGGAAGGTTCTTCCTGGCTCCCAGTGATGGGGAAACAGAGGCTCAGGGGTAGCAACGCTATGTAATTGGTGCAGAATTGGCCACCACCTGTGCTCTGCCCAGGGCCACCCAGCTTGAGCTGCAAAGCAATCTGTAGCTGCCTGCTACCTGTGTTGGGCTTGGAGGTGCCAAGGAGGGCTCATCAAAGGAACCATGTCCTCTGCCAGGACTTTTTCTGGGAGAAAGCTGCCCTTCCAGCTCTCGCCCTGATGCCAGACAGTTGGGTTTCTCCCCATATGTCCCTGGTGCCCTTCGAGCTGCTAACCCAGTGCTGAAGCTCAGACAGACTGAGTGCGAGTAAGTCTGTGCAGGGGCCCTTGAGAGGAACTGCCTGGGACTCCAGAAGCCGTCCGTCTCACTCAGCCTCAGTTCCTGCTGGGTTTTGCAGCCAGAGGTTATGGGGACTTCTGTTTCCAGCACCAGAACCCTGGGCGTAGGGGCCTGATGTGGGGCTGGGACCCCTTGCTTCTCAGGGGTCCTGATTTTTATCCCCTGCACGTGGGTGTGGGACCAGCCTGTTCTGTGTCTCTGCCCCTCCTACCAGTTTCAATGTGGCTTCTTCTTTAAATCTGTAGTTGTAAGACCTCGATTCAGCTAGAATCCAGGTGCCTGTGGACAATGGTTGTTCTGTAGTTTAGTTGTAATTTTATTACGGTTGTGAGTACCACACTGACCTACGTCACCATCTTGACTGGCAGTTCATGCTCTTTTTCAAGGCACAGTATCCTTGTTATAGTTAAGATTGGAAATTTGTGTATAAATCCACATGGGCTCATGGTGCGAATGATCATCTTGATGCTCAGAGAAATGCACACCTGTCAGCAGCCTCATGTAGCTCAGACTCTATGGGCTTTGCGGTCAGGCTGACCTGAATGCAAACCCTGATGGCTTCATTAACTGCCGGAACGAAGACTTGCCCTGCTGGGCATTTCTCCCGAGGAGTTAATGTGCTGCCAGTGCCCACCAACTAAGGGACAAGTAGATTCTCATGCAGGAAACCAACCTCGTAAGAAGATGGGAAAAGGGAGAGGACCTGGCTTTTCTTTCTCAGCCTGGACACTAAGAGCAGACAAGTTCAAATGTGATCCTGAGCAGTGAGGGTAAAGGAAGGCCTCTGCCACAGAAGCAGGCGTGGGACTCCACAGCTGGCAATGACTGAGCAATATGTTATAGGACATATTCTGTAGACATGCTCCAAACTTATTTCCCTTTGTCATCCCCTGGCCTTCAGGACAGGTGTGTTGAAACCTTCTGGCTTTGTCTTAAGGTGCACCAGAAGGCACCAAGGTTATGGTCCTTTGTCCAGTGCTGAGAGGAAGCAGAGGCTCTCGGATGCCTGCATGCTGGTGGGTGAACATCAGAGCCAAGGGAAGGGACAGGGAAATCTCCAGGACAGAATCTGGGTCACTTGGTCCAATCACCTCTCTCTACCCTGAGAGTCAATCGCAGTTCCAAATTTGAACAGTGTGGTTTATTTTAGGAAAAGTGGCTTTCCCCCTTTTCCCCTCCCTCTCCTACAGAAGATTCATCAAGTGTATACACAGCAAGGACCAAGAAGCACATGAAATATTATTTAACCATAAAAAGGAGGAAATACTGCTATTTGTGACAACATGGAGGGGTGGACTTCAAGGGCATTATGCTACATGAAATAAGTCAGGCAGAGAAAGACAAATGATCTCACTTATATGTGAAATCTAAACTTTTTTTAATGAACTAATAGGCCCAAAGAACAGCTTGGAGACTGCCAGAAGCGGGGGTTGGGGTAGGGGTGGGTGAAATGTGCGAAAGGGGTCAATAGGTACAAACTTCCAGTTAAATGGGATGTAATGTACAGGCGGTGATTGTAGTTAATAATATGGTATTGTATATTTGAAAGTTGCTAAGAGAGTAGGTCTTAAAATTTCCCATCAAAGAAAAATATCTGTAAATACGTGTGATGATGGATGTTAATGAAACAACTTGTGTTTTCTTTTTCTTTTTTGTCCATACCTGGCCAGAGCCGCCCTCATCCCCACCTACAACAAAGCCAAGTTCTGGGCACTACACGGGAGAGATTTCAAAGCAAAGGGGATGGTGGCAGGAACTAATGTACACTCAGCTCCCACTGCATGCCAGGCACCGTGCACAGTGCTGTGTACGTGCATTTCACATTTATTCTTCACAACAGTGCCGTGAATTAGTTATTAAGGCTCTTGCTTAATAGGGGAGAAAATGGACTCAGAAAAGAAAAAAAATTTGCCCACGGGCAAGACCGTGATTTCTGATGAAGGCTGTGCCCAGAGGCCCCCTCCGACTGAAAGGGGAGCATTATTTGTCCACATCACTGTGGCCACCTCAGACTGTACAGGGTTTTCTCTTACATGCAGATATAGCAGAGGCCTAAGAAGTGATCAGGAGGCGGTTCCCCTGAACACTGCCCTAGAGTTCCTGTAGGAAAAAGAAATTGCGGCCTTTGCGTTCACACAGGACCCGCACTATACTGACGACCATGCATAATTTCACTTCGGCCCGGCCCTGTGGAGGGAGGTACCTACTCTGTGTCCCTCCCCTGTTTGGTCCTGGGGCCCAGGATTGATGCTATTGGGCCTCCCCATGCTGGCTCTCTATAAAGATGCCAAAATTCAGTACCACAGTTTGTGGACCTGGAAACTGAGCAGGGTTTTAACATTTTCCACGTGACAAACTCCAGTGCTTGCTTTTATTTTACTTTTAAAAATAAATATACATATAGTATACATAAATATGTATGTGTATAGTGTATATATATGTAATATTCCCCCATTAAATATGTATATTTATATACATACATATATTTATATAACATATACATATGTTTTTAATGAAAAGTTGTAGAAGATGGTTCTTAAAAATCGACAGACCTAAACAGCCTCAGTGTCAGCTCAGAGGCTGACTCCTTCAGCTGCTGCCACCTGGTGGCAACATGCCTAAAATTCAAGGACCGGAATCAACTGGCCCAGGGACTCTCGCATCCAGAAAAGGCTTGACAATCAGCAAGTTCTAGAACACATCGAACGCCCGGATCTTGATTGACAAGTACATCTGTACAGGAGCTGCACCGCGGCACTAGGTATGAGGAGAGGGATGGATAAGGAATGATATAACTTATTTTAAATGAGCAGGGGGCCCAAGACGGCAGAGGAGGGGCAGTTGCAGTCACCTTCTCTCATGACCCATCAGAATTACAACGAAGTTATGGAACAATGCCTGGGTAACCATCTGAAGACTAGCTGAACAGAAGTCTTATAACCAAGGATAAACAGGGGAAGCCACGTCAGGAGTGGTAGGAGAGCCCTGTCCCAATACACCAAGGTTGCAGGTTCGATCCCTGCTCAGGGCACATACAAGAATCAACCAATAAATGTATAAATAAGTGGAACAACAAATCTATGTCT